AACCGCCCAGGCCTACTTCTGACACTTTAAATATTTTATTTTTATAAAAACTATTATACAACACTAAGAGAATTGACCTAGGATAACCGGACAATGTTGATTCAGCTATAGATAGAAGCAGCCCAGTGGTTCACTAACTTTGCTCTTCCCTCTGTTTTGGACTTTCAGAACCTCCAGTCAGCTTAGCCAACAGTAGAAAATTCTGGAACCTGAAGTTCAAATCAAAAGTTTGGGATTCACTGCATTACATAAACAGTTACGCGGTAATAAATGTAATCAATATAAAAATGAGAACTCTTAGACAAAACTCATATTTGTGTTTGTTAGTTTTTCTAAGTATTAATTGTGTGCCAAAATAAAGTTGGAATGTACACCACATTCAGTTCAATTTTTCAGAGTCCTGATCATTATGCCTTAAAAGCCGTACATCATTCTTGTAAGACACATAAGACTGTATACAAGGGGCCCACCTCCACTATCTTTCTATCTGCCCTCTCAATCTTCCAATGCAAGAGGTTGATCTGAAGAAAGCATTTTTCCAAATCCACTGGAATATGAATAGAAGCCTCTACATGCCAGAAGAACATGGCATGCCATATCTTACTCAGCTATGGCCTTTTCTAAAGATTTTACATATAAAACAGCAACAGGAAAATTATTTTTATACTTTACAATCAGGAGCAGATGATTCCAAACTTTCAAATCCAAAGAAAAAATGGATGGATAAGAATCCATAAGCAACACTGGCTTTCATAAAGCACAAAATAAAACATCTGGTCATTCTAATAAGGTAACAGATATGGTCAGATCTGCTTATGAAAACAAGTTGCATACAATATTCTTCAACACCAGATGCCCCTTAGACTAGATAGCTCCTACCTTATGTGTAGGAGATAATAGTCAATAACAGGAAGTACTTCTCATGCTTTGTGCACCAAAATATATGAAAAATGGGAACTGACAGGACAAAGTCATATGATTCACAACTTTTTCAGTTTGTATAATCCAAGACTGGGTGCGAGTTGTTATTTGTATGAATGAAAAATGCAACAGTATTTAATATTTGAAATATCTGCGGGATAAAGATATTTGTCAAAGTCAACTCTTACTATTGAGTAGAGTGGAACAATAAAATAATAATAATAATAATGATAATAATAATCATCATCATCATCACCATCATCATCATCATCATCTTTATCTATATACTGCCACCATCTCCCCAAAGGGACTCAGGATGGCTTACAGGGTGCACATATATAACATACAATAGGTAAAAATGGTACAAAAGTATAAAACAAGTCACATAAAATTATAACAACCCCCGTCAACACATGTAGCATAAAACCAAAATAATACAATTTTAAAACAACAGTAGATAAAACTAATTGCCATAAATTCACAAGGTGTCAAGTATCAGCTTCATATGGGCCCTGTTGTGACTCGGGTCCCAAAGATTGCCCAATACAGCAGATTAAGGGTTAACAAAAGTCTTTAATGAGTCTTTAACAGGCTAGCAGCACTTAACCAGCAATGCTACTTAGCAAAACAAAAGGACCTTCCTGCAGGTAAACAATAACAGAGATAACCCGGAGTATCCCAGGACTCAGTCTCAGGAAAAAGGAAAGCTGGAGCAAAAACAAACAGTGGCAAAAGCGGAGTCAAACAGTCCTTGGTCGATAACGGAGACAGGCAACAAACAAAGTCCGACAGATGACGTGGTCCAGAGATGTTCCAAAAGCAGGGGCAAGGCGAAGTCACTCAGTTCCAGTCTGAAATCAAGGTACACGAAGACAAGATAGCTGGATTCCCAGGACCCAAATGAAGGTTAGGCAGAAAAAGACAACCGATGCAACGCTTTGTCCTCTGCAAAGCTAAACATCCCAGAACCGCCATTTTATTAGCAATTGCTATCGCTAGATTGATCCTCATCACTAGCATCTGGGTCATTTCCTTCAGCTGCTGGCTCGTTACTCCACCATCTCTGCCAGCGATCCAAACCAGGATCCTGCCAAGATGTACCTGCCTGCCATGTATCTTGGAATCCCTCAAACTCGTCACTAGACGTGGGCTGTGTACATATGTCCTGAATTTCCCTAACCCGAGTCCAGTCCAATTCCTCCTCCATTTCCCCATTACTGGCTTCCAGTTCATCTGAACTGGAATTGTCAGCTGTATCTTTAAGCTGTTTACTCATAGTTTCTTCATCACTATCTGATTCACTGGCAACCCACTTTACTCCCCGGTAATCCAATTCCTCCAAATACTTGGGTCCAAACCCTGCAAAATCTTCTGTGTTGCTAGGTGCCAAAATAATATCTCGAATACGCTTCAGCTGACGCTGATCCAGCTCTGACTCAGCATCACTCCTCCTTCTCCTACAACCGGTAGTAGTTTCACTGCCAAGACGCTGAGCCTCAAGAGGCCCATTCAGCCTATTCAAGGTCTGAACATCCATGTTTTCAGGTTGGAATGGAAAGGTTGAAGGGTGGGGGGTAAATTAATCTCTTTTGGGGATGGTATTCCAGAGCTGGGAATAGAGAGAAGGCCCTCTCTCTTATCCCCACCAACTGTGCTTGAGACGGTGGTGGGACTGAGAGAAGGGCCTCCCCTGTCGATCTCTGAACCAGTTCGTAGAAAGAGATGTGGTCTCGAAGATAGGTTGGACCTGAAGCGTATAGGGCTTTATAGGTAATAACTTGCATCTTGGATTGACCCTGGAATCTTTTCGGCAGCCAATGGAGAGGCTTCAACAGGGGTGTGGTATGTTCCCTGTAGCTAGCTCCAGTTAGTAATCCAGCAGCTAAACTTTGCACTAGCTGCAGTTTCCGAACCATCTTCAAAGTCAGCTCCATATAGAGTGCATCACAGTAGTCCATTCTGAATGTTACTAAGGTGTGGACCACTAGGCTTTTTGAGTTATGGGCACAGCTGGCCTCAGGGAGCAGGGTTCTAGAAAATGCACAGCCTTGTCAGGTTATTGTAGGATAGAAGTGAGTACTTAGAACCTCCTCTAAAAACAACCAGCTACTCTGCTGTTCCCAAATGAAATATAGAATGTTGTTACATCATCATTGCTGAAAAATGGGTTTCTAGTACAGTTGGCATCTTGCCCTTCTCCTCTGGGGAAAAAAATCCCATGGACATTCCCAAGGTCACTCAACTTTATTTGGAAGAAAGGGGATGAAGCTCCTAATATACAAGTGTCAGTTTGTTTAACAAATGGAAAAGTACTGTTTACAACACTTTGGAACATAAACCATTAGAATCCATTGTTCTTGATAGATTTCCAGCTATTTGTGCCCCTAAGCTAAATATAGACAATAATATTTTTTTTCCTCACACTTCTGGAACTAAAAACATTATTTTTGATTACATGCCTTGTGGCATCAGTAAACTGTGAGTAATATTCCAGATAACATTGGCTCCAAATTTAGAAGAGTTTAAAGTGAGTCAGAGAACGATTAGAGCTTTGAGACAGATTTCATATAAGAAGTTCATTGAATAGTTGTCCCTTTTTGTGTAATTTCTCTGTGTTCTAGCGAACTCACTAATTGGTTAACTTT